AAGCCGAATACGTTGCTGCTTCAGAAGCAACAAAGGAGGCTGTTTGGCTCAGGAGCTTCTTACTGGACTTAGGGGTATCCTTGAGTGTGCCTAAGTGTATCACAATTTATTTTGACAACGCTGGTGCAGTCGCAAACTCGAGAGAACCCCGAGCACATAAGGCCAGTAAACACATCGAGTGAAAGTACCACCTTATACGAGAGATCGTAAAACGAAGAGATGTGGTTGTGACGAAGATAGCATCGTTGGATAATCTTGCTGATCCTTACACGAAGACTCTGACTGTCAATGTCTTCGAGAAACACGTAGAGGGTCTTGGTTTACGATGTGTTGCAGTTAGACTTTGAGTATAAGTGGGAGAATTGTTATGGCATGTGTTTATATATACTAAAAGTTTAGCTTTAGTATAAGTGGGAGATTGTTGGGGTATACAGTAAAGCAAGCAAACTTTTATGTGAGCTTTTGAATTGTATTTATTCGATTTCCCATTTGACTGAAAGAAATGTTTTCATATTGTTGCATTCTTTATGATTGCTTGTATGCTAAATGTCAAATTATCTTATATTGTAGACAATGTGGTGTGTTAGTAGTCACACAGAAGATTACATTGTCGGTCCCTTATAAGATATAAATAGTATTCACAACTGAGATAGTTATGGACATGACTATCGGTTTAGGTTGTAGTATAAACTGGATATAACATGTCTTGGCTATTGGTTTATACTAGTGCGCTGCGTCGCATTGAATGGATCACAGTTGAGACGTGTTCTTCAGTTCTGACTATCATGAAGAACCTAGGTCTCGGTGACTCTACTAATTCTTGACCCTAATTGTGATACTTAGATATGTGGGATGTTTGCTTGTTACTTTGATTTACCATGGGTGAGAGCCAAGTATTGGTTCAATATGCTCTGTATCTTGGGTAACAACAATATCTGCATGATATCTATTTATTGGCATTAGGGCACCGTGTCCTGGACATCCAGGTTGATGACGTCCCCTTAAGGAACTAATAAGGATTATCGTATAAACCTTGCAGGTGGATTTTATCCGTACGATAATAAGGTTGAGTGGTACTACTTAAGGAATAAAAAATATTAATTAATTAAAGCAGTCAGAAGCTTTAATAATTAATGGACGTGCGATATCTTAAACACGGGGAATTATATTGAGTCTAATAGAAGCCCTGATTCATTTCGGGATAGGACGAGAGTGCAATATTAATTCTCTAGTGGAATGAATTAATATTTACAGGCCAAATTGTGTTTTTGGCTGAACATAAGAATTTGGGCCTGTAGGGAGCCCAAACCCTATACCTTCTAAGAGATCCCTAGTCTGGCCCAAGGACTCTATAAAAGGAGGGATAAGCCCACGTTCTGAAACCCTAAGAGATCAGTTCACATCTTCAGCCACCACACCAACGTGGGAGAAGGAAGAAGGAAACGTGAGGGGTTCAGAGAAGAACAAAGGCAATCCGCTCCTTTCAACCGTTTGGAGGATTGTCGTCCATCCGGCGTCCAAACGTGGTCGGGACACAGACTAGAAGATCGCTCAGATCGAATCGAAGCCTTGAAGAAAGGTATAGCTCTGTTCGTCCTTTAGGAGCATGCTTAGGTTTATTCGAAATCATGTATGTACATGTTTGGTATCCGATATCGATCCGTGGGTAGGACCGCCTCGTCGGCGTGTTCCAGCACTACCAACCTCCATGGCCTTGTGCATGGTCTCCGGCCTCTCCAATCGCACTTCGGCCGCGAGATCATACCTAAGCCCTCCAACAAACGCGCCAACAAGCGCGCTCTCCGGCCACCCGCGAACCCAGCATGCCAATCTCTCGAACTCCTTTTGGTAGTCACGTGCACTCCCTGTCTGTCGGATCCGAGTCAGCACCTCGTCGTGGTTATGATAGTCTGAGTTCCCAAAACACGTAAGGAGCTCGCATTCAAAATCTTCCCAACGGATTGGTTGTTGCCGCCCGTGATACACGCGCGTGAGCCACTGCCACCACACGTTGGCCTCATCATCTAAATAGTACGCGGCATACCGAACCCAGTCACGTTGCGGCATCTCATTTAAGTCAAAGAATTGCACCGCCCTGTTCAGCCAAGCGTCGGGGTTGGTTCCCATGAACGTTGAGAGCACGATCCTTGGCTTCTCGACGCGGGCTCGCTCCTGTGAGTTCGACGCCTGCGACCGCTGTTCGTATTCTTCCTCCTCCTCGGGGTTGTGCTCAGCACGCTGCTACTCCTGTTGCCTTAGACGCTCGCGTGCGTTCACCCAGAGTGGCTCCTGCTGCTGCTGTTGTTGGAACCCGCGCAACACCTCCTCCAGGCGCTGCTCGAGGCGAGCCACGACAGCATTGGTGCTGATCTATCCCTCGTCGAGCGATCCAAACCGATCCTCCATGCTCTCGCTTATGGCCTTGAATTGGCCTTCCAAACCTTTAACCTTTTCCTTCAACTCTCGATTGGCCATATCTTTTCTGGCTTGCCTACGTTCTCGACTTCCCGGACTAATTCTGATTTTTTTTTTGATTTGCCTTTTTCTCTTTTTCTCTTTTTTTTTTTAACGAACGAAAATTAAGAAAGAAAAATTAAAAGAGAATGGGAAAGGAAAGACACACGATCGACCCTCTCAATGAAAGCACCAATGATGAAGACCGTGTGTCTCGATTTCCGACAAGCCACTCCTGCACCTTAAATCGCCGATACTATGCTCGGAGGTTCACACACTCGCGCCCATTCGAACGATAATTTGCAATAGAACACTTAACGTAAACTAAGCAAGAGATTTGAACAAAGTTCGGTTTTTGTATTAAGAAGAATCAATATATCCTAAGTAACAATGCTTGCGTCTATTTATAAAGCTCAAAATAAAGATCTAATCCTATTCTACTAAGGCTAATCTACTAGAACTAGGAAAGCAATAAAACATAAGATATCCTACCATACTAGGAATTAAGGAAAGAAAAGGATTCTAATTGTAACACCCCACTTTGATTTTAAACAAATTCCGGACTTTCCAAAAATTAGTATAAAATTTTCGAAATCTATTTCGAAATTTAATGGGTGTTTAAACAACATTTTCATAACCCAAGTCTTATCTGGGCCTACGGGGATTCATTACCCGGTTTTCGCAAATGGTTTTCATTAACCACACACTTCACGAGGCACAATTCTCAACATGAATATATAATCAAACCATAATACCCAACATCAGGGTTCCATAAATTTTCAAAACACACAAGTCATAAGTTCTGGAATATAGATTAAGCAAGTCTCATCATAAGGTTTAAGAAGCCTTATTTATTTAAACGGAAGCAATAACAAGCATAAATGACCGACCCACTCGCCTCTTCTCGTCACCCAGCTCATGTTTAACCTGCATCGGTGAAGAGCAGGTGGGGATGAGCACAAGATGAAAAGCGTGCTCACCACTATGCACATATATCACAATATAATAATGAAGAGAAGGTATGATTAGAGTATGAACATAAAACAATATTTCTATCACGTCTCCTAATCACAACACAACATAATACCCACGTGTACACATCTTTCATTAGCAAAGGAAAGGGGATTCATTACCCTAAATCATGGGGGTACGTGCCATACGACAAGGCACGGCCTTTCATTAGGTCTTACGGAGACTTACCTCGCAGGTAACCGTATTACATCGACGGGGACAACCGTACCGACGGCCGAATCGGCTCACGCCGATAGGCTACATGGTTTACGTACATACTAAAGTCATACCACATCAACATTATAATAAACACATAAGGCATAGCAAATTTTAGATTAAAACCCGCTTGGAAGGAAGAACCAAACATAAAGCAAGGCTCGAGTAAGCGGTGAGGTCAACACCTCAAAACACCTACACAAAATCAAGATAGCCTCTCGATTACAATCAATTCCAACGAACACACAAACTTAGTCAAAACTCGTTGACTAAGTGGCTCGTGGAAAGTTCTCGTGGAGTTATGGAACATTTCTACTCGACTCTACATCAAGCATGGAAAGATACAATATAGGACCGATCGATTTCAAAAAGCACTCGACCAACTTACTTGAAACTTTTACACATTAAAAGAGACAAAGAAAGGCATATTTGTACAAAGTTTCAAGCCCAACTCTTCAGTTTAACTTAAGCAACCGATTTTTACGAAAAAGATGATGAAAATCTGAACTTTCTAGTTCACCAGGAAATCCTTTGAATTTTCCAACGAAATTTGGACACAACACACATAACACCAGATTAAAAACACTCACCAAAAATCGCAGCAAAATTTCAAGAATTTGATTTTAAATGATTTTTCAAAGTTTATGTCCAGAACTTCAAATCGACATTTGACATAGCTACAGACCTCATTTCGACTTAAAATTTTTACACAACATATAGCACAATCAGAAGGTACTACAGTTGAAATTTCACGGCAATCGGACGTGTATACGATTTACAATGATTTTTCAAAGATTTCAGCAATACTACTCGATTCAAAATAGCGAAAAAGGCAATTTAATCAACAACTGCGTCTAAGGCCCTCACCATGAGGCCAAAGACTTCAAATGTTCCAATAATTCAAGAGCCAACCACGAGTTAGTAACAGATCATAAGGGTTTCACATTAAACCCTAAGGATCTATTTTTATTTATACCCAAATAATGTCTCAGCTCAACGTATAGCTATATTAACCCAAGCGTAAAGTTGAAAGTATGCATATAATCGAACAATACCTAGGAAACCCACCCATTACCATACTCCGCTGAGGAGGAGAAGGGTTTAGGGCTGGATACGGTGCTCTCAGTGGCGGGGTACGATCCGAAGTCCGTTTCCAATGGTACCTCCTTACGTTCCCATTTTCTGCCAAGGTGAGCGACCACTTCAAACATGTTTAAGGGAGGGTGATCCATAAAAACGAGTGGTTTCTTCCTCCGGTGCTCATCTCGCATTCCTACAACCACACCCTTCCACGGTTGGGGTAGGATTTGAGAAAGCTTGTCTACACCGTCTTCGTGATCGACAATGGGGTTTCCACCTATAAGTAAGGTGTACCACAAATCGTACACTTCTTGAACGCATCTCCTAACGTCGCTTGGATGAGAGGGTTTGAAATCCACAAACTCCTTTCTTTTCTTTCGATCTATATCCGACATGAAACCTTCGAGGCTGAAGGCCTCCGAGTTCGACCCGGCACTCGAACTATTACAATGCATCCTGGCTATGAAGTCCCGTACCAACGGAAAGAGAGGCGTTTCGGCCCTTAGGGTGGGACCCGGACGATAAAACCTACAAACCTCAGGCGGCTCACGCTCGACCTCGGTCTGTGTTGCGGCCGATACGGATCTCGCACGAGATAGCGGCTGCGGATCGAGGAACGAGAAGCTGGCCACGAAATCAAGGGCTCGAAGATGAACGAGCGGTCCGAAAGTGACCCGCGACGGAAAGATGGTCGCGACTTGAACGATCAATGACGGTTGCGTGCTCGGGAGGCGGCGGCTAAAGGTGCTGTTGGCGAACCCGTCGTGGCGGCGTCGGGTTGCTGTTGGTCCGGCGACGGGCAGAGGGCCTGCTGGAAGGGAAAGGTTTATGCCGGATGTTGCGCGTGGTGGCCTGTTCGCGAACGGAAAATTTCCGGTGTCGTTGCACGCTTGATGAGAGGTTGCAGCGAGGTGACGAGGCCTGCGAGTCGCGGCCTCTTCGGCGATGACGCACAACTAATGGTCTCAGACGCAGAGGAGGACGGCGACCTGTGGTGCTGCGATTGGAACTCGCCGGAGGGAGGGACTTGCAGGTAAGGGCGATTTGAGGGATGGCGATAGATGATGATTATGGCGATGATGGTTCGGGGAAGGAGAAAACTTCCAAATTTTCTCTTTTCTTTTCCTTAAAACATGCGAGAGAGAGAGAGAGAGAGACTTGAGGGGAAGAAAAAGAGATATGGAAAGTTTTCATTTGACAAGGATCTTAGTAGAATAATTAAGTCAACGATGACTCAATTTAATTGGCATTATCTATAAATAAAATAGCTACAAAAAGGGGAAGGAATTAAGCTTAAAATCCTTCTCCTACCTTAAATGAAATTTAAACACACTTGGAGAAGAAGAAATCTCGACAGATCGTTTCTCCATCTCGGTTATGCTCGACGTCGATGATCCGGTTAAATGGATAAATAATTCGGCTCGGATCGACCAAAATTAAATTAAATTAAAATAATATTTAATAATTATATAAAATATTCACGATTAGTATTTATTATAAATACACATAAGGCACATAAATTTCACTAAGGCAATTAGACAATTAAATATAAAGCAACAAATAATGATATTAATGGGAACAATAATAATAACAATAATAATAATAATAATAATCTATTCATTCATGAACGAACGGGGCGTTACAGTCTACCCACCTTACAAAGAATTCCGACCTCGGAATTCGAAAATAAAACTACCAGAATACAAGGGGAATATCAACACAAGGTGTTCGATACTCCCTCCGAATCTCGGTTTCCCTCTCCCAAGTCGTCTCGCCCTCGACTCGACTACCACTACTGGACTTTGACGAGTACCCCTCCCGGTTTTTCCCTGATGGGCCATCGGTCTCAACAGGTCACTGGTACCTCCATACAGGTAGGGTTCTGCCTATCACGCAGCTCGTCAATTCACACATACCTCGAGATCACGCACACATTCCCTCCAACACGAGGCTAGAACGTGTCATGCGTCCTCGCAAGTCCCGGTGGTGGAGTCAACCATCAGGCTAAGCTATTGACTTGGTCAAGAAACCAGGATAGGACAGACAATCGACTCTTATACTCAAATCTGGTACATTCAGAACACATGATTCTGTTTTATTCCGATGATAAGGCCTCACCCATTACCGACACGAGTAACACCTCGTATGCGGCTTCAGGAGTAACGACAAGATACTCAATAGTGATTCCTCCCGCGGAGTCGGTCTCCAGTCGAGACTCAAGGCTCCGCCTCCACATTACTACGGAAACTACTACTTCGCCATATCGAGAAAATCTTGCATGTGTCATGGGAAACTAATCGACAAACCTCATACACCGGGGATTGTGTGATTAGGGCAGTCACACAACGA